GGTACCTGTTCTTGATTGTGACCTTGTTCAACTGTCGGTAGTCTATACACATTCTTAGTGTACCATCTTTCTTCTTTACGAAGAGTACGGGTGCTCCCCACGGTGAATGACTGGGTCTAATGAACCCGTTGTCCAATAGCTCTTGAAGCTGAACCTTCAACTCTTGAAGCTCGGCCGGTGCCATTCGATAAGGAGGAATCGAAATGGGTTTGGTTCCCGGCTCCACTTCAATCACGAATTCGATCTCTCTGTCGGGTGGAAGCCCCGGCAAGTCTTTGGGAAAGACATCAGGATATTTGCACACGACACGTACATCGTTGATGTCAACCTCCTTCTTTGCTTCATCCACCACGTATGCAAGGTATGCGTGGCATCCCTTCTTCATCATCTTCCGTGCCCTCATCACGGATATTATACAACTATGAGATCCTCCCCGATCTCCCTCGAAACGCAGGGTGTTTCCCTCGGCATCCTCGAGTTCCAAAACTTTGGCATAACAATCCACTCGAGCATGATGTTTCTCGAGCCAATCCATCCCTAGAATTGCATCGAATTCTAACATACTTAGAGGTACGAAGTCACAAGTCAAAGGTTGACCCGTCACCTCTACCTCACACGAAGGGTAGTAATGTTTTCTCTCTACATCGTCTCCCAACGGTGTAGAGACCAACAAGGGTTGCGTCATTATTATCAACGGCATGTCCAAACTTTCAGCAAACGCTTCACTCACGAATGAGCGTTGTGCCCCGGTATCAATGAGAATTCTTGCGTTCCTACCATTGATCTTTAATGTTCCTACATATACAAGTCATGTAAGACACACCACTCAACGTACCAGATCGAAACGGAGATTAACAAACACTTTCGGGTGAAAATACACTGGACCGGCGCCGGTTCTAGGCAAGACCGGCGCCGGTTTGCCTTCAGGGTGGCCGGATTCACGCAAAATAAACTGGACCGGCGCCGGTTATGGCCAAAACCGGCGCCGGTTTACCATCGGTAACTTCGGAAAAATGCTTTTCTTCAAAAACCGGCCCCGGTTACGAGCACGGTGATTCTTCCGACCACTTTTTCCCCTAGACCGGCGCCGGTTATGGCCAAAACCGGCGCCGGTTTTGCTACGGCTCTTCCCGGAATTCAAGTTTTAATTGGCCTGAGTCACCCCGACCCTTGACCGGCGCCGGTTATGGGTCAAAACCGGCGCCGGTTTACCCACGGCGACCCCGAAACAGCCATTTTTAATTAGAACCGGCGCCGGTTTGAGCCTTGACCGGCGCCGGTTTACCCCTGGGCAGCTTATTTTTGCAACTTTTTGCCAAGAAACCGACCGGTATCGGCCCCGGCGGGCCTGTACAAATCCGCTATCATTTTTAGCACTCGATACATGTAATTTATCAAACGTTACAAAGGATTACCTGCAACGGAGTCGGGATTAGCCCGAGCGTCGGCCTCGGTCATCGCATAGACCCGTGCTTGAGACCTCCCCTGATTCACGGACGGCGCGTTGCTCGTGCTCGCTCCCCCTTGCCCCGTATTAGCATGAGGTGTCCCGGTTCGGCTCCTACTCGCCGTGGTGGCGCCGCTTGATCCCGCCCCTCGGTTCCCACCAAGTTGAGGGCAATTTGGTTTAATATGCCCTGTGCTCCCGCATTGGAAGCACCGTGGTGGATCACGACACTTACCGGCGTGGCTCCTGTTGCAATTCCTGCACCTGGGCGTCGTTGAGGCTTGGGAGCCCGAGTTGTGCCCGCTGAAGGCCGGGTTCCCCTTGGATGGCGGTGCCGGTGCTCTGAACGATCCACCTCCCCCATGGTTCCCCTTTTTGTTAGAACCTTGGGGGCCATGGTTCTCCCACTTCCTCTTCTTCGCCTCATCGGCGTCTCTCTTCTTTCTCTCTTCCCATTGCTTCTCTCCTTTCAACCCTTGGGCAACCACTTGGCTGAAAGTCATGTTGGGCAATTGAGTCGCCCTATCACGTATCTCCAAGTCCAAGGCCTCCCAAAAGTGATTCACCATTCGGTTTTCATCACAAGCATACTCCGGTATGTGGTCGGCAAGGTCCCTGAACTTGTGCTCAAGTTCTTTCACCGTCATGTTACCCCCTTGGGTTAGAAGGGTGTATTCTCTCACCTTGGCATTTACCTCAAAGTCAGAGTAGTATTGGGCAAAGAATTCTTGCCGAAAATCCTCCCAAGTAACATTCCCTCCATACTTGCCCTTGGTTCCATCCCACCACTTGGATGCCAACCCTTCAAGTAACCTCACCGCGATTCTCAGTTTGAAATCGGGGGTGAGTTGCATGTCAAGGGCCGCCTCGTTCAGCCTCTTGATCCATTGCGCGGCCACCGAGATGTCCCCCGTCCCATCGAACGGTTTGCACCCCAAGTCCCTCGCCTCTTTGATATATTTGGAGATCCTTATGGTTGGACCTCCATCACCTCGACTCCCATGCGCTTCCACATGGGTTCTTGAATCACCATAGCTCCTTCCTCTTGGAGCCCCACCCGAAGGTTGCCCTGCACGGCGCCTTCGGCGTTCCCTCCTTTCCTCGCGCTCCCGATGATATTGTTGGAGCAGCGCTTCGATCCGAGCCAAGGAGCCACTTTCCTCCTCGTCGCTCACATCATCATCATCCCCTTCATAAGGGGTCTCAACCGGCTCAGTTTCTGGCCGGTAGGTTGAGTCCTCATAAGACCAATAGGTCTCACTCTCCGTGTCGACGTGGCCATCGCTCACGGTTTGACGTTGGCCTCCACGGCCCCTTCCTCTTGATCCCCTAGTGGACCCCCGGCTACCGCGCTCGGATCCATCCGGTACGCGGCCTGTCGGGTTCCTCCTAGTGACCCTTCCGGTTGGCTCCATTTCTGAAAGGAAGTAGAATGAGTCATTAGACTCGTATCAATGTCAAGTGACGGATAGGTACTTAAAGACATCCTTTGGCTCAAATCACCGCCATACCAATTGTTAAGGGTACCATCTTAACAATTAGAGACTTTGCAACTCAAGTATCAAAAGTTCTATAAGTACAAAACTTTTATGCTCATGGTTTTCAAATTCATTTTTGAAAAGAGATTTTGAAGCTTCATTATGAAGTTTACGGACTAAGGCTCTGATACCAATTAAATTGTCACGCCCCGGACCTACCGGACACGTCAACAACCCGCCGTACAGTACGAATAGTCAACCGCAGTCCAACTCATCCATACTATACTAGGCGTCTTGAATACCATTCACACATAGTACATCCATAAACAATCATAACGTAAAATATTTAATTAAGCAGCGGAAACATAATTACAAATATTCAAGCCACACGTGGCAACCACAGGCATACAAGCCCCCAAATAAATGTTCGAAATAATATCCATGAGCATTATTTAAATTGTTTTCAAAACAGAAACAGGAGAAGTACGAACCCCGCCTTCCTCCTTGAATTCCTGAAGCAACGAGCGGTAGTAGCAAGCTCTACTCCCTACCTGAAACTGTGAGGTGGCCTCCCCCGTGAAGGGGAGGTCAGTACTTGGAAGCATTTGACAAGTACAATGACAACTATACTAAGTATAATCAAAGTTTCAATTTCCAAGACCCTCAATCCAAGATGTTATTCATTTGTACTTAACTCATGTTCCTTCATGCTAGAGCTCGGCTCATAGTCATGCTAAATTGTGCTAGAGCTCGGCTCATAGTCACCCTACGTTTGCTAGAGCTCGGCTCATAGTCATACTAATTTGTGCTAGAGCTCGGCTCATAGTCACCCTACGTTTGCTAGAGCTCGGCTCATAGTCATACTAATTTGTGCTAGAGCTCGGCTCATAGTCACCCTACGTTTGCTAGAGCTCGGCTCATAGTCATGCTACCACGTGCTAGAGCTCGGCTCATAGTCACGTCAACTAATCCCTAAACCACTTCTTAGTCTAGGTTCCATCCATTTTGAGTAACCCTTAAGGCCTACTCCAAATGTAACTTGAGTACATAATAATTTGAATATCTCAATTAAATCCCATATTCAAGTATAACTTGCTCTAATATCAAAATATCACTTTTATCCTTCCACGACTTCCTTACACAACTATTATACCATTGTATTCATAACACATAATCATACACAATTTATTCATAAATTTGTATATTATGCATTTTTGCTCATAAACGATAAAAATCTCCTTTAGGCATTTTATTATTATAAATACATCATGCCAAACACATTGATCGGTGGATTTTATAGTGAGTAAAACGTAGTTGGCTAATCCGAAGAATAACCAGACCACGAGTATCGTCTCTCAAGGAGTGGCAAAAAGGAAGTTTTAAATACAGTCCGTGATCACAGGCTAGCACAAGTCATGGTAATCTTTCCGAATAAATATTTTTTGAGTGGTTTAAAAATAAAACTAACTAATAGTGAGTGCAAAATTAAATAGAGAAAAAAAACAAATAATTAAATTAATTCTAGATATAAAAGGAGGGTTCAAATTGGATGGTTCGGGTTCTGGGTGTTCTTTCGGGATTAGAATTAAGTAAAATTGATTTTCAATTATTCGTGGAAATAAAATGAAATAAATTCTCATAAACAAGAATTAAATCAAATTATCACAATCTTAACTTATTTCTAAGATCAGATTGCTTGTATAAGACCCGAGCTAATTTAACTCAATTTCTCATAGACAAGAATTGAATTAAATCCAGACATTCATATATGAGGTGATCAAATTCATATAGACAGTTAAGAGTAATCTTATACAATTTACCAGAAAATTAATTGAATTTCAAAAAACTAAATTCACACCCTTAGGAACCCATGAACCCTAGCCCCAATTCAAACCCTATGTGGAATTAGCTACTCATAATTAAAACTAACATCACAATAATATTGATAAACATGATAAGCAGCTAGATATAGAAACTGAACTATGAGTATTAAATTGGAAGAAAACTGAAATTACTAATTGGAGATAAGGAAATTCGAAATCAATCCAAATTCAAGAATTGGTAATGTATAATATGCTGAAACTTACAATCTATCACTTGGAAATCTAAATTGAATTGAAAGAAATTGAAGAAAAGTGAAGTTGAGGAACCTCCTTGTTCTTTCTTGCTGCTACGGCTAATTCCAAAAGAAGAAAAGAAATACTTGTTGTGGCTAAGTGACAAGGAACAGAAAGGATTCCTCCCCGGCGGCTGCTTGTAACTAATTCGAACAGATTAGAAAACCTGGTGCGGCTGCCTTTCTACGAACAGAGAAAAAAATATGAGCTCCTACTGGCTACGGCTGCTTGTGTTCTGCGGCTAAGTGAACTGGGGGAAAAAAAACGAACTCGTGCGGCTGGGGTTCTTCAGAAAAATGAAAAGAAAGAATGGGTGATCTTGTCCTGGGCTACTGCTACCCCCAAAATAAAACTCAGCCCTTGGTGTTCTTTTTTTTTCCTATCATTTTTGGGCTGCAACCGAGCTGCTGCTAATTTTTTTCGGTGGACTGCGCTTCACTTGCTTCGGGCTGCACCAAATTGTTCTTGAAAGAACTCTCAAAAATTCCGGTCCAAACATAAATGTGTTATTCACCGCAAAATTCAGCCTGTAAAAGCACAACTCGCCACACCGCTAATAACATGTAATTTTACAATCAAATTACTCCAAAATATGTCAAATTGTGTAGAAAAATACTACACTGAATACGAATGCCACCGAGACCGAAAAATAACAAATTTTCATTCAAAACCCCCAATAGTCACCCGATTAATTATAAAAATTAGACAATCAACACCCACAATATGGGTGAAAGATAGGAACGGAACGAGCCTATCAAATCTCCCCACACTTGAGCGTTGCTTGCCCCCAAGCAACAATGCATTAAACTCACGGAAAAACAAAGTAATCGCATGTAACACTTGATTCAAAAATCATTCACACCCAAAACAAATGACTGCACAAGATCTTTTCTTTCTTAACAACGAAACCAAGACTCACATGCTAAACAATATTTTCAAAAGTAAAGTCCCTCTCCAACCAACTAAAATGTAAAGAAAAGCATGAGGGTCCCAACGGTGTAGGTGTGTGAAATTCAAACCACCAATCATTCCAAAAACCCAAGAGTTGTGTGATAAAAACCGGTATACTCATGATTCTTTTTTTTTTTTTAAATATGAAAAGTTGACGAGGTTCTGGTTTACAGGACTGATTCAAGCTCTAGGGCCTTGGAGTTTATCTCATTACTGTGTACTCAACTCTCACACAGGGTGATTCGCGAGATGAGCAGAGCCCCATTTCAGGGATGAAATTCTCGACACATGAAGTGTAACCCCATTACAAGAATCAGTTACCTGCTTAGCATGAAGTTATCCCGATATGCTTATAAAGCAGAGCTCCTTGCGGAGTAAGGATTTTCACCACCTGACCAGTCAAGGAATTATTAATGCGAACTAGTGAATCACGAGTAAGACCGAATTTAATCAACACAAATCAAACCATCCAACATGCCAACATTTCCCAAGAATATACACACCACCCCGATGATTACACCATTACTAATTCTTTCCAAGAAAGATGGAGGAGATGGAAGATTACAAAAGAAAACAAAGATTAACAAGTTACCTCTGTTGCGTTGCTAAACCAGAAAAAACCTCGTGCACCTCAAAATGTTTTTGGGAAAAATAACTTCATCACCAAATGCCATGTCCAAGCTAAAACCAAACCTCCCCACACTTAGGGGTGACATCGCCCTCGAGGTCAAAGAAAAGATTAAAACAAAAATAATAGGGGCAAGTTAAATATAAAATGATTTTCAGCCCGGCAACATATCATAATCAGAATAATAATCAACACAAATCAACAAGAGGAGTAATATGACAGTAAGCACACATTATTAGTAGCGTAGTAAGAGCTGGCAGAATACCGTACAAGCCAAACGGCAGTGAATAACCTCCCTAATAAGGCTGAATTCAGTCTCCTCGATGCATACATGCCGCTGAATCCTGCACACAGTCTGCCTCGTACGCTACTTGAAGTCCTTCAACTCTTGAGAAAGCGTGGCAAGTGTGCCATAACTGTGAATTTCCCATTTATGCTGCCAAAGCTTGCTGGTAAACCAAAAGTGAGCTGCTGGAGCTACTCTGCCTGCACCTATGCCGGTTACCGAACTCAATAAGTGTATTGAAATTGCTTCCCTTCAATCTGAACCGGATAAGAGTGTGTGGCATCCAACTGGTTCCTCCCTCATGTACTGTGATGCTTATGCTGACAGAAAACGGCCAAGGACCAGCTGTTCTGGCCTCAAAAGTCGGCATCTCACACCGTCCAAAATCTCCCAGAATCTGCCAGAAATGTTCCTCTGCTGCTGCCAAGTTTCTGTCCAGCGAAACCCCAACTCCTTGAACATGTGTAGGCCTCTAACCATTGCCCTGCAAGTGTTTGAAGTTGCGTCCAGCTCTCATACCGCTTTCGGGCTTGCTGCAAAGTAATCTGCAGCTGACAGCCTTGAGGAGCTCCATCCTCACCTGTCTATGATAACCAGGTTGCATATGCAATTCAAAGCAACAAAGAAATCCAACCACACAACCACAAGATGAAAACATAAAAACAACATAAACAAAAATGCATAAATAAGAAATAAAAAACTCCATTTTTTTATGGTGGGTTGCCTCCCATAAGCGCTTCTTTAACGTCACTAGCTTGACGATAAGCCCTCGTTCCTAAACTGGTTCAAGGCAAAAAACTTCCTTCCTTTTTTCAAACGTTCCCCCAAAATAGTGTTTCAGTTGGCTGCCATTAACCTTGACAACCTGGCCATCATTATGCTCAATCTCCACACTTCCATAGGGATACACTCGACGCACAGTGTATGGTCCCGTCCATCGGGACTTCAGCTTCCCAGGAAAAAGTCTCAATCTGGAATTATACAACAACACCTTCTCTCCCTCCACAAATTGGCGGTCCGCCTTAATGTGCTTGTCATGAGCCTGCTTCACTCTCTCTTTATATAAATATGAATTATGAAAGGCCTGAGCCCTCCACTCATCCAATTCATTCAGCTGAAAGAACCGCTCTTTACCTGCACTAGATGAATCAAGACAAACAGTATTTAAAGCCCAAAGTGCCCTATGTTCTACTTCCACTGGTAAATGACAAGATTTCCCATAAACTAATCGGAAAGGAGTAGTACCAATCGGGGTCTTATAAGCTGTCCGAAAAGCCCATAGCGCATCATCTAATTTTTCTGACCAATCCTTACGAGTTTGCGCTACAGTTTTTTCTAGGATAGCCTTAAGATCCCGATTTGCATTCTCTACTTGCCCTTGAGTTTGGGGATGGTAGGCTACTCCTTGCCGATGTTGAACCCCATATTTAGACAGAACACGAGCTAGCGGATCATTACGAAAATGGGTTCCTCGGTCACTAATCAAAACTTTTGGGACTCCAAACCTGGAAAACAATTTTTTCACAAACCGCACAACAACTCTAGCATCATTGGTAGGGCTCGCAATAGCCTCTACCCACTTTGACACATAATCAATAGCGACTAAAATAAATTTATTGCCTCTTGAGCTAGGGAACGGGCCTACAAAATCAATCCCCCAGACATCAAAAACTTCACAAGGCAATAGATATGTCTGGGGCATCTCATCTCGTTTAGAAATATTTCCTACCCGTTGACACCTATCACATGAGGCAACATAAGAATTCGCATCCTTGAACAACGTGGGCCAATAATACCCACACTCTAGCACTCTTCTTGCTGTCCTATTACCAGAAAAATGCCCCCCAGCAGGGCCAGCATGACAATGGTACAAAATCTCACTCATTTCACTCTCAGGAATACATCTTCTTACTACCTGGTCAGCGCAAATCCTGAACAAATAAGGGTCATCCCAGAAATAATACTTAGCATCAGACAAAAACTTTTTTAACATGTGCCGAGATAGCCCGGTAGGCTCAACATTGCCTACTAAATAGTTGGCTATGTCTGCATACCAGGGCACCTCGGAAGCAATCTTAACCTGCAAAAGACGTTCATCAGGAAAAAGTTCTTCGATAACATCATTACTAAAAGAGTCTACCAAATCAGCATCTAATCGTGATAAATGATCAGCTGCCTGATTGGCGGAACCCTTCCGGTCCCTAATCTCTATGTGAAATTCCTGCAACAACAAAATCCAACGGAGAAGTCTAGGTTTAGAGTCGTGCTTCTGAAATAAATATCTCAACGCCGAATGATCGGTGTAGATAATTACTTCAGACAAAATAATGTACGACCTAAACTTCTCCAAAGCATACACAATAGCCAGAAGCTCCTTCTCTGTAGTGGTATAATTCAATTGGGGTCCCGCTAAGGTTTTGCTAGCGTAATAGATGGGGCGGAAGTGATTATCCTTCCGTTGGCCAAGAATGGCCCCGACCACCTGATCGCTAGCATCACACATCAGCTCAAAGGGGATTTCCCAATCTGGAGCAACTAAAACTGGAGCTTCCATCAACTTAAGTTTCAAACAATTAAAAGCAAGCAAACATTCATCATCAAACAAAAAATCAGCATCTTTCTCAAGCAAACGGGTGAGAGGTTTAGCTATTTTTGAGAAATCCCGTATAAAACGACGGTAGAAGCCAGCGTGGCCGAGAAAGCTACGGACAGCCTTCACGTTCTTTGGAGGCGGGAGTTTCTCGATAGCCTCAATTTTCGCCTTGTCAACCTCAATCCCCTTAGATGACACCTTATGACCTAGCACAATACCCTCCTTGACCATGAAGTGACACTTTTCCCAACTTAAGGCCAAGTGGGTCTCCTCACACCTAATCAACACTTTCTCCAGGTTATGGAGGCATTCATCAAATGACTCTCCAAAGATAGAGAAGTCATCCATAAAAACCTCCATAAAATCACCAATAAACTTCTCAAAAATAGCAATCATACAACGCATAAATGTGGCAGGGGCATTACATAGACCAAAAGACATCCTACGAAATGCAAATGTCCCAAATGGGCAAGTAAAAGTGGTCTTTTCCTGATCAACGGGATCAACGTGTATTTGAAAGTACCCGCTCATCCCGTCAAGGAAACAATAATAAGCATGCCCCGCCAAACTCTCAATCAACTGGTCAATAAAAGGTAAGGGAAAGTGATCCTTCCGGGTGGCCTCATTCAGTTTACGATAATCAATGACCATCCGCCACCCTGTCACAGTCCTACTAGGTAGGAGTTCCCCCTTCTCATTCTGAACAACCGTCATACCCCCTTTCTTGGGGACCACATGAGTAGGGCTAACCCATTGGCTATCTGAAATTGGGTAGATTATACCCACATCAAGAAGCCTCAGGACTTCAGCCTTTACAACATCCATCATCTTGGGGTTTAAGCGTCGTTGCGGTTGCACGACTGGTTTATACCCCTCCTCACACTTAATTTTGTGGGTACAGAAGGTTGGGCTAATCCCACGAAGATCCTCAAGCTTACGAGCAATGACCTGCTCGTGGCACCTAAGGACATCCAACAATTTTTCCTTCTGTCCCGACTCTAACTGAGCTGAAATTATGACAGGTCGTTGGCCCTCTGTGTCCAAAAATGCATACTCCAGGTGACTAGGGAGTGGTTTGAGTTCAGGAGTAACCTTATCAGTGGGCTGCTCCTCAAACTCAGTAAGCAACTCAGGGAAAACATCATCCCTAATCACCTGCTCGCAATCAACAGTCATTTCTTCTTCATTTTCAGCCACTATATCCCCCACATAATGAATGTCACTATCTGGTGGGGTAATATCACTATCGCCTCCAAACAAATAACCCTCCACTGACTCAAACATATCAAGATAATTGCATGATTCAGTGGGGTCTGAGGCCTTACTCATCACATCTGAGAGTTTAAAAGTGCACACATCGTCCCCAACTCTCAGAGAAAGTGAACCATCAGCAACATCAACAAGGGCCCTAGCAGTAGCCAGAAAGGGCCTCCCTAAAATAAGTGGAGTCTCACGATCTTCCTCCATGTCCATGACCACAAAATCGACAGGGAATATGAACTTGTCCACTCGTACTAATACATCCTCTAGAATTCCTTTCGGGTATTTCACCGATCGGTCCGCTAGCTGGAGGCTCATACGAGTGGGCTTAAGTTCACCCAAGCCAAGTTTCATGACCACAGAGGAAGGCATCAGGTTGATGCTAGCTCCTAAATCAGCTAAAGCATTATTAAACATAAAATTTTCCATAGAACAAGGTACAAGAAAACTCCCTGGATCTTTTCGTTTTGGTGGCATGGTCCTCAGAACAACCGCTGAACATTCTGCATTGAGATCCACCACTTCTGGCTCTTCCCACCTCCTCTTTTTCGTGAGGAGGTCCTTCAGAAACTTCGCGTACCTCGGCATCTCTGTCAATGCTTCCATGAATGGCATATTGATATGGAGCTGTTTTAGATGCTCCATAAATCTGATCAAGTTCGTGTTATCATTGCTCTTCTTCACCCGTGTAGGGAACGGAAGGGGTGGAGTCTTCTTACTCTCCTTTTTCTTCTGAGCTTCTTCATTCTGGACTTCTTCACTCTTGGCTGGAATAGAGGCAGCCACTGGTTCTTCTTCAACCTGGGATTTGGGGCCTTGAAGCTGCTGGTCATCATTTTGTTGAGACATTGGCGGAGTAGAAACTTCTGGAAGTGTTCTCCCGCTTCGTAGCGTAACAGCTTGCACATGCTCCCTTGGGTTAGGTTCTGTTGAACTCGGAAGGCTGCCCGTTTCTCTGGGAGCAAGTGAACTAAGCTGACGGATAAGAGTTTCTAGGTTGCTGAAACGTTGGTGCATCTCCGCTTGATTTTTTGCTAATTCAGCCACTGTTTTCTCCAACGCTGCATTTACTGGAGGTGGCTCAAGCTGTCTTTGATGAGGCGGGATATAAGCGGGCTGGTTTGGATGGCCTCTATTCTGGAAATTTCCTTGAAAATTAGGGGCATTCCGCTGCCCTTGATTCTGATTTTCAGGCCTCCACGTGCCTCCTGCTTGCTGAAAGTTTCCCCTCTGACCTTGATTGTTGAAACATTGTCCACCTCCTCTCTGGCCTTGACCATATTCCATGAAATTGACATTCTGGACCACTGGTGATGCCTGATTCTGAACATAAAGAGGACATGTGTGAGTGAGGTGAGCTCCCATGCACATCTCGCAAGATAAAGCGAGTTCTTGGCCGGTTGGGCTTGGATAGCTTGCTCGAACAGGAAATGGGGCAGAATACATAGGATAAGAGGGCTGATATGCTCCAATATTATGGAACTGCTGCTGTTGAGAAGTCTGTGCCTTCAAGTCTTTCACGTCCACAGCCAGCCCCTCAATCTTCGCTGTAAGTGCAGTGATGGGATCAAGATTGAGCAAACCGGGTGGATTTTGAACTCTCTCTTTACCCGCATACCAATACTTGTCATTTGAAGCCAAGTTTTCAATTATTTGCTCTTCTGCCTGTGGGGATAATTTCAGAAACATACCCCCTTGAGATGCCCGGTCAAGTTCTCTCATATACTCCAACCGAAGACCATTATAAAATCTGCACATAATTGTTGCTGCATTCATGAATGTTTCAGGGCACTTCCTTTTCAACATCTTCAGCCTATCCCATGCCTCACTGAAAGATTCGGTCGGAGCTTGAGTGAAATTGAGAATTTCCGTCTGAACCTTGATAGCGGCAGAGGGAGGAAAATACTCCTGCATAAATGCTTGATGAAGCTTCTCCCATGTATCAAAGTGCCCGTTTGGAAAGCTACGGAGCCACCGTGAAGCTTTGTCTCTCAATGAGAATGGGAATAAAGTCAGCCTGACTGCCTCACTGGACACTCCATTATATTTGAATGTGGCACAAGTTTGAATAAAGCTCTCAATATGATCCATTGGATCTTCATGGGCGTATCCACAAAATGGATTATTAGCAAGCATCTGAATCATGGCTGGCTTGATTTCAAAATTGTTGGCCTCAATGGTGGGTGCTCCAATGCTATTTCTCGCCACATAGTTAGGCGTCAACGTCTCCAGAGTTGTCTGATCAGCCATTTTCTCCAAGTCTTCTAGCAAACGCCTTTTAGCTCTTCCTCGGAATAAGCGTTCAGGATTAGAATAACCTGCAATTAAATCTTGTTCCTCCGAGGAGCGAGTGCGCATGCACTAGTTCCTGCAGCTTAGTTCACGTGCAAAGAACACCAAAAACGACAAACAAATAACAGAAAAAAATAGAAAGTCTCACCGACTTGCTTTTACCTATTCCACAAAAAAGTACTTAACAAACAACCGTGCCACTCCCCGGCAACGGCGCCATTTGATCGGTGGATTTTATAGTGAGTAAAACGTAGTTGGCTAATCCGAAGAATAACCAGACCACGAGTATCGTCTCTCAAGGAGTGGCAAAAAGGAAGTTTTAAATACAGTCCGTGATCACAGGCTAGCACAAGTCATGGTAATCTTTCCGAATAAATATTTTTTGAGTGGTTTAAAAATAAAACTAACTAATAGTGAGTGCAAAATTAAATAGAGAAAAAAAACAAATAATTAAATTAATTCTAGATATAAAAGGAGGGTTCAAATTGGATGGTTCGGGTTCTGGGTGTTCTTTCGGGATTAGAATTAAGTAAAATTGATTTTCAATTATTCGTGGAAATAAAATGAAATAAATTCTCATAAACAAGAATTAAATCAAATTATCACAATCTTAACTTATTTCTAAGATCAGATTGCTTGTATAAGACCCGAGCTAATTTAACTCAATTTCTCATAGACAAGAATTGAATTAAATCCAGACATTCATATATGAGGTGATCAAATTCATATAGACAGTTAAGAGTAATCTTATACAATTTACCAGAAAATTAATTGAATTTCAAAAAAACTAAATTCACACCCTTAGGAACCCATGAACCCTAGCCCCAATTCAAACCCTATGTGGAATTAGCTACTCATAATTAAAACTAACATCACAATAATATTGATAAACATGATAAGCAGCTAGATATAGAAACTGAACTATGAGTATTAAATTGGAAGAAAACTGAAATTACTAATTGGAGATAAGGAAATTCGAAATCAATCCAAATTCAAGAATTGGTAATGTATAATATGCTGAAACTTACAATCTATCACTTGGAAATCTAAATTGAATTGAAAGAAATTGAAGAAAAGTGAAGTTGAGGAACCTCCTTGTTCTTTCTTGCTGCTACGGCTAATTCCAAAAGAAGAAAAGAAATACTTGTTGTGGCTAAGTGACAAGGAACAGAAAGGATTCCTCCCCGGCGGCTGCTTGTAACTAATTCGAACAGATTAGAAAACCTGGTGCGGCTGCCTTTCTACGAACAGAGAAAAAAATATGAGCTCCTACTGGCTACGGCTGCTTGTGTTCTGCGGCTAAGTGAACTGGGGGAAAAAAAACGAACTCGTGCGGCTGGGGTTCTTCAGAAAAATGAAAAGAAAGAATGGGTGATCTTGTCCTGGGCTACTGCTACCCCCAAAATAAAACTCAGCCCTTGGTGTTCTTTTTTTTTCCTATCATTTTTGGGCTGCAACCGAGCTGCTGCTAATTTTTTTCGGTGGACTGCGCTTCACTTGCTTCGGGCTGCACCAAATTGTTCTTGAAAGAACTCTCAAAAATTCCGGTCCAAACATAAATGTGTTATTCACCGCAAAATTCAGCCTGTAAAAGCACAACTCGCCACACCGCTAATAACATGTAATTTTACAATCAAATTACTCCAAAATATGTCAAATTGTGTAGAAAAATACTACACTGAATACGAATGCCACCGAGACCGAAAAATAACAAATTTTCATTCAAAACCCCCAATAGTCACCCGATTAATTATAAAAATTAGACAATCAACACCCACAATATGGGTGAAAGATAGGAACGGAACGAGCCTATCACACATATAATTCATTTAGGTAATCTTATGAAATTAACCCAATAATTATAAGCAATATAGTCGGTCATCCTCACCTTAAGTGAGCTTAAGCGTGTTCTACGCTCCGCGGTTGAACTTGGACTAATTCCGGTGAACTTTGACCAACTCCGGCCAACTTGACCAACTCCGGCGAAACTCCGGCGAAGCTCAAAGATACTCTATATCAAGTCCCTAACAAGGTTTTAACATCATAAAACCCTAATCAATACCCATAACCCTTAAAAGGTTATTTTCCGGTGAACCGGTCGGTTTGGCTTCTAAGTCCGTTTTTGGACATAGAACCACCTTCCAACCTACCATTCTACACTTAAATCATGTAGAACAAGCCTCAAGGTTCTTCATATGATATATATCTCATATGATAGAAGGAAAATAAAGGAAAAGCTAGTATAAGGTCATTACCTTAATCTTTCTCACTTTCTCCCAACTTTTCCTTCCCAAAACCCCTTCTTTGGACTCCTTAAGCTTGAGCTTGTGCTGCAAAAATGGAGGATGGGTTGAGAGCTCCTTCTTGCTCCTCTCTTGTGGGTTGGCCGAATAATGGAAGGGAAAGGGGGGTGGGGGTTCCTCTTTGTCTCATTTGACAAATGAGTGAGGTTAAAGGGCCCTTTGCACCTCCTCCACTCATTTCTTTGTAAACCCAGCACAATCTTTGTTTGTCCAGCCCCAAAAAACGTGGGGTGGCCCCCACTCATGTGGGAGGTCATCCCTTTGTGTCCCGACGTGTACAATCGGCCCCGAAAGTTGTATTTTTCGGACTGTTTTAAATACATTTTATTTTATCGGGTCAAATAAAATATACCATGTGTTCTCCATCATTATGACCCTTATAATGAATATTCATTCCCCAACTTTAATTTATAAGTCCCCGAAATTCGATTTCGGGCTTTTATCAGTTAAATTGCCAATACCGGCATTTGAGCCTCTTTTGACCAATCGGTCAACTCTGGACCCTTCCATGGCTCAATTGAGTTACCCATCACCGTATAAATATCATCTAGACCAAAATAAATAATTTATGTGGTCTCGGGAATATCGGGCGTCCCCCGCTCCCGGTGCGGGCCCCACGTGCGAGTTTACTATTCGTGCAAAAGAAATATTAAAAATTCACCACCTCGTATACTCGTCAACCATTTCATAAGGTTCAATACAATATACTCTTAAAAGTAAATACGTTTGGGGGCGGCGCTACAACTTTAAAGATATCATCGCCCATTGGAAATCCGGAAAACGAAATTTTGCAAAAGTATTGTGTTGGACTTTTGGGCTGAGGTAATCAATCTCAACAGTTCGTAAACTAATTTAAATAATATTTATGCTACCTCAACTAAGTAAGAATAAGGTGTTGTGATTAAATTAACCTTTAAAAACAGCTTTGCAAGTGTGGCTCTAATGTTATTCATGTATTATTATTTCAAAAAGTCATTCAAGAGATAATAATAATAACCTTTTGAAGAGCTATACTTCTCTCCATAAGAATTGCTCCTGCACCATCACAAACCTCCATCACAAACCAGGTTAGCATTGCCTAGAATGGGGCAAAGTCAGACCAACACACAATGTGTTGTAGTACAGACAAGAACTAACTGGGGTTTAGTAGATGATTTTAAATGGGATTAAATCACTATCTGCATTGTGGATCCATGTTTTTCGAAAACATGCTTTAATTTAGCCAAGACCCCATGTTTGCCTTTCGACGAAGCTTTCATTGAAAGATATCACCACCGACTTCTCTATTCCAGATATTGGGTTGACTATCTGTTTCCCCCATATAACAGATTTAATCATTAGAAAGCTTCACATATCATAGCCGAGTATATATTCCATATTATAATATACTATCAAACCTTTGTAGAAACAGGGATGATTTATCTTTGAACTTCCCTTCTGCAATTGCCGCAACAACTCTCTATTGAGAAACTACCTGATGAGAAGACAGAAATCTTAAGACATAACCTGATTTTCCAAAACAAGTCTCTGTGGAAGGGAAGTACAAAAAAACCTACTAAAGAAAGGGAACATCCAAAAAATACCATTTTTTTATTTTCTTTTCTTTTTCACAAGTGGGAATCCTTCATGATCTATCACATGATTTTCATATAGAAAAAAGGTTACCTGCATCAAGCATATGAGCATTTTGTTGCTTCTCTCCTTTCTTTGTTCATAAAAAGGAAATGTGTTACTTAAGAGTTAAGAGTGATGGAAGACATAATATCTTGAGAAGTAAAGAGTATTTCACGGAGAATCCAGTACAGGACCACATAATGTATTTTTTAATAACATGAATATGGGTTCAAAGTAACCAACAACTTTAAAACACCTATTGCAAAATATAAAAAACAAACTCCAAAAGTAGTCACCGCTAAAGTGAAAAAATACAAGGCGACCCAATGACACATTCACTAATATTTAAAAGAGAGTGAGCAATAAGACTATAAGAGGCTATAGTTCCTCACAGTTTGGCCCTTAAACAGAACATATACATTTTTATTTAGCTTTTCAAGATTTATGAATAAAGATTATCAGTCTTTTATGCAGTATCATACTTGTATTCATGAAGTATGTCAACAAGTGCGGGGAAAGAGTAGGCACTACACTTACAACGGGCCAGTTTGGTCTCCCCAACTAAAAATTTCATTATTCCAAATTCTAGCAGCTGCTTTCAGCCAAGACTTTCCCACATCCAGGACATCTCTCAGAGATCAAACTGCAAAACAACAACATTTAATCAGTTTAGAAGGTTAGAGTACAGATTATTATAACTGCTTTTAAGTTATGAATTATTAATAACTAAAGAAATATTATATGTAGTACTCCCTCCGTCCCTTATAACTTTGCCAACTCTCCTTTTTTGGTTGTCCCAAAAACTTTGCCACTTTCCCTTTTAATCAATCAATTTGTGGCTCCTGTTATTTCTCTCTCCTCTACACAAATTTCTACCACACAGTTTTTACTTTATTATTCTACGTGCCAGTCAAACATGGCAAACCTTTAAGGGACAGAGGGAGTATATAATTAGTTACTTTGGATTATACAGATTTAGAAAGATTCTTGATGCACAAAGACACAACATAGTTTATTGGGAATCAAAATCATGCATATTCATTTGAGAAGAAGGAAACATTATATAGATTCTTAATTAGGAACATAAACATGAGGTGGAGCCACACATTAATAAATGATATTTTATATAACTGAAAGAAAAAAAGAAAGAGAAGTGCTGGTTTGACTTGCGTCGTTATTGACTGAGATGATACTCTGTTCAACATAAACTCGAGCAAGCCCTGCTGAACGCCTAAGACCGTGACTACATAACCCATCAATTGTTGTGAAAAAGTGCCAGCGACGGCTGAGAAAATCAAAATTCTTAGGCCAATTATAATAATGAAACAGAAATCAAATTAACCAGAAACGCAAATTTGGAGGATTAAAGAAAGGGAAATGAAATGAGAAAAGCACTTGTCACTCATTTCCAGAGGGAGAGTAGTAAATGGCATGAAATACTTAGGCTGTAGTAACGGTTAATAGTACCAAAATAACTACCTTAAAGATTTTGTGTGTATAAAGGGATTCTTCCAATTCCTTCTTTGGCTTGTGTGGACCTATCATTTTTTCTTCATTCTGCTTTGTATGCTCTTCTATCATACTCCATCACATTCATCTGCTTCTACTCTAGTAGTCTAAGAGCTGCACGTTCACACTTGTAGTTTCCAACAATCTTTAAGTATATTCCAGGGCGGTTCCTTTTTGTTATTTCCAACAATCTTTAAGTATATTACCAGGTGGGTTCACACTTGTACTCCATCACATTCTTTTTTGTTTATTTTTCTTCAGACCTGATATAATCACAAACTTGAAGACATGAAGCAGAAGCAGAAATAAAATTCAAGTCTCTGAAGTAAAGATATAATTAGAATTATTAGCTAAAACTTACAGCTGCATGTTAATATCAACAATGAGATCCACTGGAGCAATATGAGAACTGCCTTTAGCCTCTGATCCTAAACATAAGTAATATGATTTTAGACTAAACCGTCACTCAAACATGGAATGAAAGAACTTGAAGACAAATTGAATCTGCAAAGAGAAAATGTGATTATAGAGTTTACTAAAAACAATTAACACTCAATGTAAAGGAAAAACAAAGGCGAACACATATGAAAAGTTCTCTGAAATTTTAATACAAAAGGCATACTATATTAAAAATATAAAAACTCAAAACACAAAAATTTAAAACGTAAAGAGAGCATTTGGTCTTGGTTTATCATGAACAGTAACATCTGAAAAATCCCAAATAGGTTAACTTCATTCACTCCTTTTACCTATGACTATTAGGGAAGTTGGTAGACAAATTCCCCATTCTAACTTTCAATGTAAGTGACCTTAGGAGGGAAATAATCATATAAAAAATGGCATAGAAAACCTGGACTGAAGTTTTTGTGAGCAGCATCAATGTCTATACTCATTTTTTAAAACAGAAATTGACATGGATGAACAAAAAAAGAAAATGACAGAAAAAAAGAAAAGAGGTTGCATAGGAAAAAATTAAGCATATAAAAATGGCATGGAAAACCTGGACTGAAGTTTTTGTGATCACCATCAATCTATAGTCCTTACTTTCATACAGAAATTGACATGGATGAACAAAAACAAAAATGATAGAACAAAAAGAAAAGAGACTGCCTAGGGAAAAATTAAGCATATAAAAAATTAGGATGGAAAACCTGGACTGGAGTTCTTGTGAGCAGCACCAATCTATGTACTCCTTATTCTTTAAACAAAAATTGACATTGATGAACAAAAAAGAAAATGACAAAACAAAAGTAAACCAGGCCGCTGCCTAAGCTAAAACAGAACAAAAAAACTGCATTTCATGACATAGCAGTTGTTTTTTTTAATGAGAGCAAGAGCAACAAAGTAGTACTTCATAATACTAATATGATTATTACTCCTACCAAACATTTCATCCAGCACCATACGTGCAGAGTATACTCTGGACATATGACTCATATTGTAGCATTCTGAATTTCAACATGGTGTAAGAATGAATTTCAACATTAAAGGTGTGTGATATAAAATAAATACAATAATATCACTAAACATGTGATGTAAAGTTCGGTGCTTACCACACAAATGTAGAAGAGAAGACCATAAGTATAAATTATCAACCGGGAGCAATTGAGTAAATTAAAGGTCCTAGCAGCAAAACCAAAACCCAGATATGAAATAGACACAAATTAGTCAACCCCCTCACCATTCCCACCCAAGAGTATACATGTGTTTAGACTCACAAATTAGGCAAAAACTTTACTGCTTGCCTGCAGCTTAAGAGCTTTAGGCGGTTAGCTCTTTATCTTGAGACTCGATTTTAGACCAACAGAGAATATGGAGAGACTTACATACCGGCGGTGGGCTGTAAAGCTTTTGGAGTTCGAACTTCAGGCCGCGGGCGGCGGGGCGATTCAGAGCTCGGAGTTCGTTGTTGCTTGCCCGCTCACAACCCTAGGTAGATGAGAGACTGGATGAAGAGTCAAACGCGAAATGAAATGGGAAAAACATCGCCACTTGGTTTTGTAGAGGGGAAGTAAACGGCGTCGACGGTCTGGGAGCTGTAGTAACGGAATGGTACCAAACTAACTCCCTTCCACGCTTTAGAAGAATAGGAGATGTGTGTAGAGTGTTTTTGTGAGTATATAAAGACAAAATACATTTGGTGAGAGTAGAAAAATTTAACAAAGATGGTAGATTAATTAGTCCAAGTTTAAGTTGGCGATTGTGTCAAGTGAGTCAAATATGTAACTTCTTTTACTACAACATAAAATAGTGACAAAAAATATTAGAGAAGCGACTCCGCTGGGGATCGAACCCAGAATCTCTGGTTTCGTAGACCAGCGCCTTATCCATTGGGCCACGGAGTCATGTGCTAAACGATTCACATACAAAGTATATATTCACAACTTCATACTCGTATGATTCATAGAGTTTGAGACAACCCACTAGACGAATAAATAAAGGCATAAGAATCAGATTATTCTATCATTTTATTCAGGGTGTCTTGAATGGTTAATTTGGAGGACTAAGGATGTTTTCTTTTGGATTGAAATTTGTTGACCTGGTCTGGTTTGACCAGGTCTGGGAAACGTCTGGTCTCTGTGTATTTTGTAACTACGGAAGTCTAATCTGATCTGGTCTGATATGGTCTGGTCTGGGACTGAAAACAGTCCATGAGAAAACATCCTAACAATTCTAAGACAAATATTGAGGTATTGTTTTTCTTTTTGCTTGAGAAAACTAATTAGCTAAAAGTAATTACTAGATTGATAAAGATAAATTTTTACTAACTAGCTAACAGTAGCTACTAGATTGATAAAGAAGTTGTAGCTAATCATTAAAGTAGTGCCTCCGTCCCGAATTATAAGATATTTTTCAGTTTACGATGTTTGACCAACGATAAAGCAAACAGATTCCTGTCTGCACTCAAATTATTTTTGGAATTCTTTTTTACATATTCAGAAACTACACTAAAAATCGCTATAAAACGTGCAAAAAATAATCCAAATTTCATAAAATTTTGATATATAAAGTAAGAGATTAAGAGTGATTTGTGTTGACCGAGTGAAAAATAAAGATATCCAAAGTACTTTTAGTTTGAAAACATTTTTACTAAAAATGCTAATTTGACAAGTCAAATCACAAGAATAACTAGTTAAACATTAAAGATGATCTTATCATCTTAATGGGATGTCCAATTCGTGAACTGTAAAGTTAGATTTACATGAACACTCACAGTCCTTAGTTTTTCAATTTTCCATGCTTATTTTGAAGCGCATTTGACACCTCTATGGCTCTATCAAGCTTACATTTTCCAAGTTGAGTATTGAATTGATAATAATTTTCCTAAAATCAATTTCCATTACATTTTTTTTGTATTCACAATGTATCCAAGTTTTGATTCATAATCAATCTCGAACAGGTTCAAACGTGGCAAAAGAAAAGGGCAAAATGAAAATGTAAATGTTTAATTACAAAATAGTTGCCAAATTAAAGTGAACAACTCTAAGCAAACTCCTCTTTGGAAAATATTACGAGTACATATATACTCCTATGTAATTATTATGTACATAAGAATGACAAGAAAACCCCCTATTGCCCTAAGTTAGTGAAAAGTGAAGTCCTCTTCAAGCTCCCATCTTTTGTCACACTGAAAACCTACAGAAGACAATGCTTCATGAGATTCTCAAAGTACCATGATCATCACCACAGCTGCCGTGTAATGAGGAGAAGGCGAGAGACACACAATTATCAAAGATGGAGAAGACGAGAGCCGTGGCAAAGACAGCTTCTCCAGATAGGGCACTTCAAGGAGAGGCAAGAACATTTGATTGACTCGCAGCAGTAACAATTTAAGCAGGGCAATTCATTGCAGCAACAACAAGACTTTGGTTGTTTACAGCAGTGGCAACTTAAACAGCAGTGACACTTTGGTAGTTTGCAGCAGTGGCAGCCTGAGAAGGGCCATCCACAGCAGCAGTGGCAGCCGGAGAAGGGCCATCCGCAGCCGCAGTCGCGTGGGCATCTTGACAGTTTACAGCAGTGGCAACGTAGACAATGACAAGAGAAAGATAACCGGCTCAACCATTTACAAGAGAAAGATAATCGGCTCAACCATTTACATGGGAAACATAACCAGCTCAACCGTTTACAAGAGCAACGCCAACAACTTAAGCATGCACATGAGCAGCCTGAGCAAATAGTGCTATGTCTTTTCCTTAAGCAGTGGAAATGGTCACATGTCCAACCAGCACAGCAGTATTGGCACCTTGTTGGTTCAGGCTTCTTTTCTCTGCAATACATAGAGTTTCCATTCCTTACAATCACATTAAGTGCCTGTTCGGCAAGATAGATTTTTCTGCTTGTATTTTCTACCAAAACCAAACCTTGTTCAGATATTCTAGCTGAATAACTGAAAAAAGTTGTGCACAAGTTTATTTGGGCTATATCTCATGTACTCCAATTCCAAAATATTATCCTACTTTGACTTGGCACATTTATTAAAAAAGTACAATTGTATGATTGTGTTTTTATCTAAAAAGGAGAGAAACCATGCCAACCACACAAATCTACCCTTAAAAGGATATACGAAGAAAATTTTGAGAGATCACTAAATGAAAAGTGGGAAGTAAATTACGGAATGTAGAGAGTATGAGTTATTTTAATTTATTTAAATATCTATTTATAATACAATAATTACTAATTATTAAGATAATTGAGCCACAGCTTCAGTAATGTTAGCTAATCCAGAATTACTTCAACCTTACCAAACGGGTTATAACCAACTATATATGTGTTTCTAACTTTCCCTCTAAATGTGTGTAGTCATATTTAATCAAAGATTAACTCAAAGAAGTTCACACAAGCCAAACAAAGAAGGGTAAGGTATGTCACTCACGCTGGATGAGCAACAAAACTGCTAGAAGTGTGACCATTTGCACCTGGTCCTAGAGGTACTACATTGTGAACACCCTTTTGTGGTCCACCATTGTTATCATCTCCACCTACTGAAGTCAAGGGGCACATATGCCCATATCTCACATGTTCTACTCCATATGTGTCAAGTTCCCCAGACCTGAAAAATATATCTCCAGAAAAGCTATGGTTCCCAATTTGGATACTAAACAATGATTCATTGGAAGCAGTACTCCAATCTGTGGGTGTAGATGACTTGCTCCTGAAAATTGAAGAGGGCGGTCCATGATGGGTATCAAAGCCTCCAGCTGGATTTTCCATGGTTGCCGAATGTTCTGAATCCTTTGAGGCAGAACTGATAGATGTATCCAATTTTTTACATTCACTCCAAGGTTCAAATGAGAAAGAAGAGTCTGGAGTTGAGGGGTCGCTTGTTAAATTTGATAAAGAAACTGTATTGGAATCGTTTAAATCTGCAGGATTTTCCATGACCTGAACTGGAGGAGACTGCATTGGGGCCCATTTCTGCAGCATAGATTCATCTGAAACCTCTGAAGTAGAATTTGAAGATGCAAACAGTGCTTTTCCCGGTATGGAATAGTTTCTATGCCTTTCATTGACTTCATTCAGAGCTTTATCAAATGAAAAAGTTGCCTGTGTTTCTTCTGGATTTGTTGGAGAGAAACCGTGAGAACTTCTTGATGTTGACGACGACGACGACGATGATGATGATGACGATTGTAGTGGTGAGAGGGGAGGTTTTGAAGAATTAACTTCACCTCCATGGTCCATTTCTGTTTGATAAACACAGAAAGGAGTTACTGCAACATGAAAATTGCTTGTTATATTTATGAAAACTAAAATGATCAGATTTACTCATGAAGGGATAAAAAAAGTGTCTGAAATTCAGTGCAGGTCTACTTGTTCAAACTTTTTGGCATAGAACTCTGAAAAAAACTTGACAATCTTTTCCATCAATTATTGCTTCTGAATTTAGTTATAATAAAGCATTCCCCATCAACCAACATAAATTGGAACTATCAATTTGGTCTTAACTAGAAAGTCAAAACATTTTAAGATTAGAACCTATAGAATAATACCTTTCTCCATTTTAGAAGTTCCATAAACTATTTCACAATAGACCAACACTCTTTCAATCTCAGTTTTTATGTATCAAATTTTTGAGACATTCAAATTCTATTTTTGAGGTTCAATAAATCTTTTTAGTCTAGTCTAGCTTCTAACTTTGTGGATATGAATCATTAATACTCATTTAAATATTATATCCGGAAGGTTAAGTAGTTAACCCTAATTACAATCAAACTTCACAAACGAAAAAGCATAATCCAAAATAGAATAAATATCATCCCCACCCCAAAAAAAAACTCTCGTTTGTAATGTTAAAATCAGTATTACAAAATGACCCTTGTTTTAGAAATGCGAATTTTTGGGAAATTTGGAACTTACTCCTTTAGATAGCCATTTAGATTGCACCATTCCCTGCACTCAGAAGATATCGCCTTTGGTTGGTTTTGCCGGAAGCAGCTCCGGCAACCATTGTCTGCCTCGCAGAACCTATATCAACGTATTTCCAACAAAAATGTCCAAAAGAAATAAGGAAAAACGATGATATAGGGATTCTGTTGCAAATTTAAACAAAAATAAAGCTTGAAATGTTTATCAGAAAAAAGGAATCTTTTTAAGAAAGATGAAAGTACCTTGGAATTAGCATAAAGTTTTTCTCAATTGCCCAAATGCCACAATTTAATTGCCGTAAAGACGGATGCGGTTAGAGTTACATAATTGTTACTCTCGTATGGTTTTCCGGCGTCTGGGGATTGAGAGAAAACGCAGGAAATGTCGAATTCGACGAACGGTTGATCGAAAGGAGAAAAGAGAATGAGGATTTCCTGGGAAAAAATTAAAACAAATTGAAATCGCGGGAAGACACAGATTGGAAGGCAAAGAGTGTTTTAAGGGTGTGTTCTATAAACTTCTATTTGGCGCCACGACGCATATCTTCAAATCTTCAATCACGCGCTTCGGGCGTGCATTATTTAAGAAACCATTGTGCAGATTGGAGAACAATCCATTATGAAAGTGAAGACCGTTGTAATAAACTAAGGGAGTGCAATTGTTTCAACTTTATTTTTAAAATGATTTTGGGAAAAGTGATTAATATTAAAAGTTGATAGTGTTTGAGAAATAAGTGATTCTGAAAAAGTAAAAGTTGGTAGTGTTTGGGAAAATAAATACTTTTTGTGTAATAGAAAAAGTGAAAAGCAGTTTAAAGCATCATTCTACCTGCTTCCAGTTTTTAACTTTTAAGCGATTAATTTAAGCAGAAGCTGTCATTTGAGAACACTTTTTTCAGCTTTTTTAAAGCCAAAAGCTAAAAAGCGTTTTTTAAGCAACCGCAAACACTACTTAATACTCCATCCGTATTTTTTATGTTTGCTACAATAGGTGTTTGCACATTTTTTAAGAGTGAAATAGTTAGGGTAATGAATAGTGTAGAAAAAAGTATGAGAGATGTTGGAAAAGTATGAAAAAGAAGATCAAAAGTAGAAAAAGTTAGGGTAATTGAGTATTTTTAAAGGAAAAACTTACCAAAAAGAGAAATCGTAACAAATTTTTGAATACATCCAAAAAAGAAAAGTGTAGCAAACAAAAAAATACGGAGGGAGTAACAAACATTCAAAGTTTAAACTATGACTATAACAAGGGTGTATAAAGACCATTGGGTATAGAAGTAGTGCATAAAATTTCAATTTTGCTACTTGTATGTGCTTATATTCACCAACCTTATACTCTCCTTCAGGAGAAAATTATTTTTGTGTGTGAATCTTATTCAGACAAAACATGTATACAAAGTAATGGATCTATCGGGGTCCATAAATTTTCCAACTTATATACATTTAGAATAATAATAATTAAAGACGCAGTATTAATTAGACTTGTGATCTTTTGGATAGTTCTACACTTCGACAATATTTATTCCTTGAAAGCTCACAACCTAAAAATAAAACCATTTTTTCCAATTCTCCAATAGTCTCTCACGTATAAATGTTAATTTGTATCCTTATACACTAATACACCAATAATTTACTAGTAGTATTAGGGGTGTTTGGATCTGATTCTTAAAATTGCTTCTGCTCCTTCAGAGAGCAGAAGCAGAAATTGGAGTGTTTAGGTGAAAATGCAGAAGCGATTTTGGGGCTCTAATTTACTCCTAGAATCCGTTTTTTTATAAGTTGGGGGAGAACGACTTCTGAAAACTGATTATGATTCTGATTTAAAAAGGAAGCAAAATCAGAATCAGTTCCAAACACCCCTAGACTGAATTTTTTTTAACTCTCTTGTGTGGCTGAAAGGCAAAGGTGATATATATTCAAAACTAAAAGAAATACAAATTCTTTTATTTGACTTCATATATGATATATTATTTGTATCTTTTCCAAATCCTAATTTTCTAATTGCAAGCAATAAATGAATAAATGTACTCTATTCAATTTCAGAGTGTGACATCTTTGTCTGTAATTTATCGAACACTCGGCATAATTGTAAATGTTTATTTTACAACTTTATATCTTTGATGTCTAGTTACTGTACTTTGTTTTTTTTTTCAGTTTCTTTGATATCTAGATACTGTATTTTTTTGAAAAATGTGCTTAATCTTTGTTACCATAACAAAAAATAGTGTTAATACATTTATATATTACCACAAGTCCTGCTTTTTTATATTATCTCAGGTCTATAAAATGTTAGAACCGGACCTAAATAACTAGTGATTAGAACAGGAGCGCGAGTAAGGAGTGATATCTTCTTTAGATTTGGTACTCCATTACTCCAAAGTTGGAAATATCAATCAAAGTTTTGATTTGAAGATTCCTAACTCAATAGTAGACTTCAGTTTAAATTTGATCAAGGCAACCACAGTTCACCTTACCGGAACCATACAATTAAAATGCATTTTAAACGATCTGATTTTACCAACCATAACTTATCCTATCTTTCGCTCTGATTTTTGTCAATGCAGCAGTTCATATTGCCAGCTCATGCATGTCATTGGAAAGGTATTGTGTCAAGCAGTCAGTGTAAGAGAAAAACCAAACTGGCGGTGAAGGAGGATATTTCCTCATTACATTGGATTAAAATGCAAGTGTCGTGCTTGGGCAGCTATCCACCGTGCAAGACAAAATGTCTCGGTAATCCCGTGATATCCTGAAGGAGTCATATACTTTACCATCCCTGCTCTTCTTGTACTCAAACAGGAGGTTTGAATGATCAAATGCTGTTAACTTGACAAATCCGTAGTCTTGGTCTTTGGACAGACTCCATGAAGTTGATATGTTGGCAAAACCCGCGAGGCCTGCACCTCCTCCCCCGGCAACAACATGTATTGTCCCGTTCAAGCTGCCTCTATAGAAGTGTTGCTCTTTGCTTGTACAAATATTCTGAACCAAAAGGAAATAAGAATAAATGTTACTCCATATTTGGTTGAGTGCCTATCTGTTGATGAAATAAAACTGGTCTCATCGGAATGTGATAAATATAGTCACAATTCATTGAGACCTTATTGTTATTTTGTATTTTCCAACGCGCAATTGCTTAACATCTACCGCAAGATGGTGATAGACAAATATTGAAGCATATGTTCTAGATTGGTAGGCTTTACATCATCAAATTGCTTCCGGATTGTTCGAATAGTTCGAACCTAAACAAAAAGGTTTTCTAAGGTTGCAATTTGAAGTATCACTAGAGATTTACCATGTCCAAGTCGTTAACTTCTAGGTTTGCGGGATCAAGCTAAAGGTCCCGAACACCCGTGTTAGTAAAGAAAACATGTGAAATGAAAAAGATATAAATGAACACATGCTTCTTATATAAAATCCTAAATGAGAGAACCGTGGGACTTTTCGGGTTAATCCAAGTCAAAGGTCCATTTTAGTGATCTAGTAATTTCTACACGTAAAAGGCTCTGGAAAGACATTAACAAACTCTACAAGCTTTTTTTGTTTCTATAGGGAGGAAGAGAGAGAGAGAGATCACCCTAATGTGAGTATAAGCTTGGGCTAGGGCTTTGCTCCCTAATTTTTAATTAAATAGGACCGCTCTACTTAAATTCCTATTTATAGGAGTTTAGGCTAGGGCTTTTCACCCTAATGAGTCATCAAGTAGACTTACGTTAGGCCCAGAAGACTACGTCTACTTGATGACCTATTAGGGTGAAAAGCCCTAACCAGAACTCCTATGGGCGATGAGCAATAATCTCAACACAATCAGTTTCTTGACTTGCAAGCACTACCATATTAAAGCTTGAGGTTACATCTTAAAGGAGCAATCTCCGGTCTTATATGTGTGTGTTTTTAAAGTATTCCAACGTAGGATGACTCAACAGTTTTCGCATTTGAGAATAATATACTATCCTCCGTCTCTTTTTAATCGCAACATGTTGAATTTTACACTATTCACATGTTCTACTTTGACTACATTTTATATTATTATTTTATGATAATTATTTTTTAAAATTATATTGTTCAATTCATTTCATTACAAATGTTCAAAATCTAATTTTTAAATATTTTTTACTAATAGGGATTAAGATATAATTACAGTCAAAGATGTGCGTTGGCAAGTGTGAAATATTGACCGTTGCAACTAAAAAAGAACGGAGGAAGTATTCAACAAATCATCCCGGGTTACCTGGTAAATAGGACATGTCCTTTCATAGTTATGGACGTGACCATACATGGCAATATCTACTTTATACTTCTGCCAAAGCTTTTGAAGGCTTTCCCTTCCCATTGGCTCTCCAAACGATCCTTCGTTGGCATAGGACTCACCAGAAGAGTAACCAAGTACCCGGTGGGCAAGGAAAATGAGCCATGGTTGTTTCTGTCGGTCAACAGATGCAAGGCAGTGCTCAATGAAATTATGCTGCTCTGTTCCCTCTCTCCAGTCATGTTCGGTGTCAGCAATGCAAAACCGGAACATGCCATAATCTGTAGAGTACCTGAGGAAAAAAACACACAAAAGGAAGATGTGAAAGCACAAACACTTAACTGTAGACTTTAGAGATGTATGAAGCCTGTCATATTGGTGAAAAACATTAATAAGTTAACTCGAGAAGGGTTCTCCCTTCAAACCATACTCCAAAACTCCTAGGGTCCATTTGGAACCCGGAATGCTAGATTGCTAGATATAGAAAATATGGAGGAGATTTGGGAGAAGTTTTAACAAATGGTTCAAACTAGTTCTATTTAATACTCTGTAAATAATAATATATAAATACACAAATGTAAGTTTAAGCGATACTATAGTCAAAACAGATTTTCTTCTTACTTTAAGGTAAAGACAAACATTTAAATTAACAAAAATAACATTTGCATTCATTAGATTCTTTTATCATTTCTCTGTCATTCTTTGCATGCCAAATGCACCACAAGGCTATTTTGGGTCCTGGGAAACGCCGGAGAAAAGGGAAAAAGGAGTTATGAAATTTTATATTCTGATACTACTTTGTCCCTAAATAAAGTTCAGGATCACTATAGGTTCTCTCTTTTTAGATTTAACTCTTATCATATTCAAGTTAGTTTTGCATATCACTAAAAGATTTAGTGTAGTTTCTAAATATGTATGTTTTAATTTTAATGCTGAATTAAATATTGTCAGGGAGTTAACTGTCAAACACTGTAAGCAGAAACTGAAATATAGATTAGAGACAGAAAGTAATTAAATTTACCTTGAAAAATGAAATATGCTTAAAAAAACTAAAAATGTCATATATTTAGGTTTCTTGGATATTACATCGCAGAAATTAAAAAAATGAATCCGAACAAATATCTAACATAATTTTATGGAAACGGTTGGCTGCCATACCAGAACTTTTCCCTATTTTCAGCAGGAACATAAAACATTGTTTGAGCTGGGACACCACATTCGCCACCCGAGTCCATGTTCCCATAGAATGAACCTGACCCAGGCCAATCACGCTCGTGATTGCCACTGCAAAATACAAATTATTACTTAGCTATATCAAGAGAAAGGATGCACCCAAACAGGTCCTGAAATGGAGTCACACTGCATACCTTGTGATCATGTAACTATGTAAGGTACCCTTGAAGCGATCGGCTCTACTTGTGCCGTAAACTGGTCCCACTGAGAGATGTATCCATTTGCGTAGCAGATATCTCCAATGTGAAAAACTATATCATAATTTTTCAGATCATCAACCAGCTGCTTAGTGGTATTAAGGGATCCAGGTTGATAGTTGTTATACTCACTAGACCCATCAGCTTCCTCCTATTCTTTATAAAGTGGAAGTGCATTATTGCCACACACATCCATGACATATATTGTGAAGAATAAGATTGGATCTAAAATTGAGGATTCTCCAACATTTATTAAGAGGTTCATTCATATACGAAGTATTTATTACACATGAAGGGAACTTTTTTAACAGATATGAAGTTATATAGATGTTTGACTACCACAATAACACAAATCCAAATGGTAAACCTTACAGCATTATAGGGGAGGGAAAGAGAGGTGGTGTTTATTTTTTAAACTATTTCTACATTAAGATAATTTGAGTTAAAATGAAGAACTTTATAGAAGTACATGGACTAACTTTTCTAGTCTAAACTAACAAATAAAATACAAATTAGTTAAATAAAAAATCAATCCTCCCCTTATCAGAATCGCTGATCCATGCAATGATGCAAGCCCTTAATGTTTGAGAAAGCACAGAGTAGTTACAAAAATATTAAACATATTTCATTTTCCAAGGTAAAATGAAAAATAAAATTTCCTTAGCATAGTTTTTTCTTCGTTCACCTAGAATTTTCCATGACCCAAAACTACCCTAAGTGGGTCACATATTTGAAACACGAACATATCTTTTTCTCGTTTTGTTATGTAAGTCCAAACCTTTCCCATGTCGCCAAAAATGATCACACGCTGTACAGAACATTGGCCAGGGTAAGGAGATGACTTGAATTGGTAAATCTGACTCCAGACGTATGTGCCATTTAACAGCTTATGACCCAGCTTGTAAGTATACCTGTAAATTAATATGAAGTACACCTTTTAATTTTATGACAGAGAAAAACTTAGTAATTTGAATTAATTCTGGATCAACCAAGAAGTTTTTAAGAATAATTTGAAAGAAGTGTATATAAAACCTACAATGAGTTGGGCCAAAGCTCCTTGAGGAAGGCAGTGTGAATGAACCCTGGATCACGCCATCCCACAGTTCTAGCAGGTGCACCTACACAAGCCATTTTGGGTAACACACGATCATGCCCATCATACAAGAAATGGGGTTATAAGCAAAACATTTCCCAGGTAATAATAAGATTCAAAGGGAGGCTGCTCAAGCTCACCACACATGCTACTGCGGTCAAAAGTGAGAGTCCCAGCGGGAGAGTGTTTCTGATCCTCTCCTTTTTTACCCCACTCCACAAATGGCTCTGCCTCATTGATCCCATATCCACTTGTCCATGTCACAGTCATCTATGAGCAATTTTTTTAGCAGTATTATCCCTTCAGCTTCTTAAACGTTATTATGAGAAAAAGCAACATATGGTGTGAAAATAAGTTTTATTGCAATTATGTACTTACTTCATCCCACATCTTCCCTTGTGCTAACCTTGGGTACAATGGTGCATTTGGGTTTTCAAAGGAAACAATATCTGACGTTGCGACAAGCTTTGGCTGTTAATTAAGACACAAAATGCAAGCATTCTGAGTGACCATTCATAACTAATGTTATTTATGTCAAATATGTGAAAAACATTCTAAGGAATGAATAGCACTACAATGATCGGTATAAAACATACTTTTGATAATCCACCAGAAAACAACCCAAAAGAGAAGTCCGATCTTTGGTTGATCAATTGAAGCTTAAGTGACCCGTTTCCTGTCTCTATGTACTTGGAGTTGGAGTAATTTGCAAATTGAAACTGCATAGATATTTCAATTGATAAGTGACTAAGTGAGTCTTTTAGCCCATTTTCTAGACCTAAGACAATGAAACATTTAATATAAAGCTTCCAGGATGATAATTTATTGGAAAAGAGATGTAAAGACCTTAATAGGTGCTGTACACAACCAAGGTGGACTTGTCATTTGATTCTCAGGGAGGCAGGTTGATGCACTGAATACAATTCATTTTTAAAAAAGGTAGTGCATAATATTAGCATTTTGTTACCAAACTCAGTGCAAACTCCACATCAAGATATATTACAATGTCACTGTTCCCAATTATGTTCATTTTACCTGAAATTTCCCGGAGAAAACACTCCAATCCAGTCATCACTAGATGGATTTGGTCTGACGTATTCCAAAGTAACCCATTCTTTGTTTTGACCCTGAAAACAAATTACACTAGTACGAAATCAAGAACATAAATCACTACTTTTATTAGTGACTAGTAAATCAAGAAGTTGAAGCACATACATTTTGGCCGAGAAGAGAAGGATAAACTTTAACAAAAGACTGACTATCCAAAGCAACCACTGAATTATGAACTGCAATCCTTGCTAGTGGCTGTATCCCATGAGATGTTACTCCAAGAAGGAAAGGCATAGCCAACCAAACTAGTAGCAAAGCCATAAAAACTCTAGCTGCATCCATCCTATAATCTAATATCAATTAGAAAGACAAAACCAAGTCTGATATCAATTTTCCATATGCATAAAATCTTGATCATATTGTTGAACCATTGGGTTTTAATGAAGTATGTAAAAACTGAAGAAAAAAAATTATTAAAATTTGAGTAATGGAATTATGACTATCCAAACTAACCCGAATTGTACTTCTTAGAATATGCTGATACAAGCTCACATATAAACCTCCTAGTATTAGATTAGATCTCTTCGGGGTTGACTTCAAGTATTAATAGAGTCAAAGTCATTATATATTACTTTGTATCATTATCATATATGGGTTGGCTGGTCAGAAACGATTTAACATTTTTTATCCACATAAAACTAGCTGAAGGAGTAAACAACTAAAATCCAATCTGGGTTAGCATTCAAGAATTCACTCAATTGAAACTCAGAGACTGAATGAAAAATAGAAGACTACATATGGGATTTAAGAACAGGAAGCATTTAACCTTGAATAGCAATTGAGCATTAATATGAACCAAAAATGGCAGAAAAAATAGAAACAGATGACGGACCTTGAGTGGGACACTGCCACACTGGTAGTCGTCTGATTATGATAAGGATATGAAAACGTTAGAGGGGAAAAAATGATAGGAGTATTTAAAGATTATGCTTCCGGTTTCTCGTGTGGGGCACGTACGGGTGCAGTCAGAGCAGGGGAATTTTATGTATTGATTGTTTCTACTTTTTTTAGCAAGTACGAAGTAGGAAATACTCTACGTAGTAACATTTATACCAACTTTTTGGCACAGAAAAATATTTGGACAGAATGTGTACACATGTCTGTCCTTCGCAGAAAATTTGTTTGTCACAGAAAATTCAAATATAAGTTTTCTGTGGCAGACAAATTTTCAAATAATGAAAAAGTGAAGAAAAGTTCAAGTACATAGTTTTATGTAGTTTAAACGTAAAATTGCAAGGTTATTGCAGAAAAGTGTAGAAATAAAGGGATGAGATTAAGAGCCCTTTGTGGCTATGTTTTCTGCTCATCACCCGGATGAGCTACTTCTCTTTACCTAAATAACAAGATTTCTCTAAATAGGACTAAATAATAGCAAAATTTCAACAATTTGAGCTTCAAGTTTAAATTTTTAAAATACGACTAACTCTTCCTATTCTACCATTTTTTTGGATTTTTAAATATTAATAATAAAACATAAAAAAATTAAAATAAAAAAAAAATAAAAAAAGGAAAAAAAAATGCAGGCGTCAACCACCACCTCAGCCACCTTAGCTTCCAGTGCCATCACCTCCGGTCCCTAGAAAAGAATGCCAAGTTGAAAAGAATGTCATCGTGATGACAATTTTGAAAAGAAAGTTGGATATTTTAAATATTTTTTAGGTATTTTATTTTATTTTTTAGAATTTTTAAAGTTTTTTTTGTTTTTTTATTATTTTTTCACATTTTTATTATTAATTTATACATATTTTATTATTTTATACTCCCTCCGTTCTTTAATAAAAGTCCTTCTTTCCTTTTTGGGACGTTTTTTTTATTTGTCCTCCTTTCCATTTAAGGAAAGTTTTTACTTTAAATATACCTTTATACCCCCATTTTTATTACCATTACCCCTTTCTCTTTCCTACTTTTTCATTTACCCACTACTCATTACACCTTTTACACTACCCCTACTATTTTCCTCTTAAAACCCGTGCCAAAGCCTAAGAGGACTTATATTAAAGAACGGAGGGAGTATATTTTTATTATAAATAAAACAATGACTTAGTAATAAAATAAATCTATTAGAAATTATAGAAAGGGGTATAATGGGAAGAATGGACATATATTAGTCCTATTGTTGAATTTCGAGCTAATCTTAGTCTTATTTAAGGCTCATACCCAAATAACAGTTGCAGTACAACTACATATCAAAAACCTCTTACTTATTTTAAACTACATGATATGAAAACGCAAATGAGACTGTTATTTTGATAAGAAGGTAGTAACTTTTTCACTAAACATGTAGTTTTGATTCCGCATGTTGAGTTATGTAATAATCAAAATAAGTAAGGCTGAAGTTTTTTCTGGCCGGATTGATTGGAGTTGTTGTAGAGGATCAATTTAGTTATTTTCTTATATATATTTTCTTTATTTTATTAACAAAATATAGTTTAGATATAATTTTTTTCATAAACCAATCGGTCAATCTAACATCTTTAGCCAAAACTTCAAAAATTTCAGCAGAACCAGCTGATTCAGCCAATTCCAATGTTATCATGGCCTCATGGGTATATCATCATAGGGGCTTGGAGCTCACTCTAGCCCATTTGTTTTTAATCATAGGTATATGTTCATAAAAAATTGTGTTTAGCCCAGCCCAAAATAATCAAAAGTCAAATCAAGTGAAAGTCCTAATTCATAATTTTAGTCCTTATATTTTTTTAATAAATCATAATTTCATGTGAAATTGAATATTAGAGAATAATTTCATATACAAAAGTTTGATGTGTTAATGGTCTATATTATGCATATGAAATATCATTAATATGCTACATCGAAATAATGAAATGAATATTTCTCTAGTAATAAATGGAGCTCACAGATTTTCGTATTCAATTCAAACGCTCAATAAGATCGATAAACATGCTCGAGTGAAAAAGTTTAGACTATGCTCGTTAATAGATTTATAAGATCGATGATAGCTTTTATTCAATAAATACTCAAATTTTTAATAAACATTAGTAAATTTATAAAATTGCACTAAAACATTTACATTTTAAGATATACGTAATTTATTCTTAATAGTTACTCCATCTATCCCAAATTGATTTGGGAAGTCAACATTTTTTGGTACGAATATTAAAGTTAAATCCTCCCTAATGATATTTAATTCAATTTTTAATAATTAAAATTTACATATTCAGAAACTACATTAAAATCTTTTCAAAGTTGCAAACTCTAAATTAGAATATAATCAAAAATTGATATCCTAATTAAGTAAATAAAATGGAAGTGTTTGATAAAGAAAGTCAATTTTGCAAAACAATTTGGGACGGAGGTAATATAAGTGATCACAATTGGCACGTGTCTCAATCAAACTGAACATAACTATGCACGAACAATCACATTACTGATTTACAACTCAATTTTATTATATACAAGAAAATTTTTTTTATTTTTATATATGCAATATTGATGACATATGAAAAACCATAAGAAATTATGAATTTTGATATTATTTTCGTAAAGATTGAAGTACAAATAAAAAAGTTATAGCACTTTAAAAGAGATTGTTGTCCTTCACTTTCTCCAATTGAGTTGGTGTGATTAATATAAATAGCACTTATGCACCAGGTGAATACCACAGATTCACTGACTCAACTTGGATTAATTAAATGTTTAAGTAGTAATGATAATAAATTTTTATTAACCAATAAGATACTAACACCTCATTGATTTTTAAACCAAAGGTATTCTATAAAATAATGTTTTTGTTTTTATATATGCAATATCTGTGTCATATGAAAGATCATAAAAATTTACAAATTTTGATGTGTTTTTTGTAAAAATTGGAGTTCAAATAACTATGTTATAATACATTAATAAAAGATTTTTTTTCTTCTTCCCTTTCTCCAAATGAGCAGTGATGCATGTAGTGAATAACAATGATGAACCAAGTCAACTTATATGAATTAAATGTTTTAGTTGTAGTGATAATAGAATTTTACAAATCAAAAGAATATTTAACTCAGCTTTGCTATATAAAAGACTACCTTCATCCCATTCAAAAGTTCTCGTGCACTATTCTCCGGTCAACCTAAAGTCTTCTTAATCTACTACAGAGTACTTTATATATCCAACTTTTATCAAATTTGAGTTTTTCTTTTGTGACTTTATAAAACTTTTGTTGTAGTCTCTGAATATGTAAATTTTATTTACTAAAAGAATCTAATTACGAACATGGATCAATTATTTTTATGGTTAGTAAAATATCGTAAATTGTGTGAGAGCCTATCTACGGGACGTAGAGAGTAATAGATTTTTTTAATTTGTTTATATATGATACTGGTGTCATATGAAAGATCATAAAAACTTATGAATTTTGATATATATTTTGTAAAAATTGGATTATAAATATAAAAGTTATATCACTTTTAAAAAATAGATTATTTCTCCTTCTTTTGCTCCAAATCAGACATGATGTAGGGAGTTTTTTTTAAATAGCCGTGATTTAGGGAGTTAATTAATTGTTTTAGTTGTTGTGATAATAGGATTTCCATTATCCAATAGGATGTTGACACATCATTAGTTTTTAACTCAATTTTACTTTTTTTATCGTAACTCAACTTTACTTTATACTATAGATATATATAAAAAAGTGATAGGAAAAATATATGTAGTTCGTGAAAGTTTCCTTAGGATGTTTTTACTTGAACTGTAATTTGTTGGTCTGGTCTGATCTGTTTTTTTTGTATTTTTATAACTACCCAAGTCTTGTCTGGTCTGGAACAAATTGCAGTCCAAGTAAAAACATCCTTAGTTGGGCTGTTTTTCACAAAGACACACTCCTATCTAATAAAGGGATAAGTTTTTGTATTAATTCACTTCTTTGTGAGATTGTCCCCGTAGGAAACCAAGCAGTGTGAAAAATACACAAAACACACTTGAATAATGCTACTAAACATGTTGGAATTAAAAGTAACAAAATGGGGGTGCAAATGAGTTGTCAAATACATTAAAAAGTGAGAATATTAAGTTTTTATCAGAAGCAAAGCATAAACCTACACTGCAACAACAACAATATCCAAGTTTTTTTCTCAAAAGATTTTGAGATCGACTAACTGAATCGATCCATGGTATCAGAGTCATGGTGACATTCATATTTTGATTCATGTCATGTGATTAAGTGCTAATGTTGTTCGTCACGCGCCTACACAAAACCCTCATCTTTTATCCTGGTTTGGGACATGCATGATACCAAAAATAATCTTATGATGGAGTTGGAGCCCAGACTGCGAAGAGAAGAAATTATAGAAAGAATGAGAATTTTAAAAGAGAGTAGATGAGCAACTCAATGCTTCTGTGTGAGATTTATTGCATGAACAACCGAGCACCATTGGAGATGAGATCATTCCATATAACCTTAAACCAATTTAGTTGAAGAATAATAGACCGGTCTATTTCAACACTTGATATGTAAAGATATGTAAAGGACCGCTAGACATTTGATAAACTATAATGGTGCTATTTCAGCACTCAACCCAAAGATGACTTTCAAGCACTTTTCTCTATATGGGAAAAGTTAACAATCAAGTTTATCTTTTTATAGATTGAAGGACACAAGAGGCCCACTACAAAACAAACACGAGATTGGTAGGAATTTTTGGCTGGGATTTTCCGAAAATGGAAAGGATTTTGGTAGGGATATGTCAAATCTGTGCCAAAAACAGTTTGACATGAGCTATTTGGCTACGTATATGATACATCCGGCTGTACGGTGAGCACCATACAACCGGCCCTGTAACAGGCCCAAGGGAAAGACAACAAAATAATTCGGTGGCGTTTTTGTAATTAATGTAAAAATCGTGTTTCTACTAGATGAGCATTAGTGTACTCTTAATGAGC